TGATAGATAGATAGATAGATAGATAGATAGATAGATAGATAGATAGATAGATAGATAGATAGATAGATAGATAGATAGATAGATAGATAGATAGATAGATAGATAGACAAGCTTCAGACACATTTTCCTTCCTCTAGAAAAGTAGATTCCCTCATTGTTGATTATTTTGTAACTTTTGACGTTTTTAATCAATTTAAATGTGAAATCAGCCTGTTTTAGTGGCTCCTTTTGAGTCATCAGAATCAGAGAGAAACAGCTGGATCGTCTCCTTATGATAAATGCAGATGTTACTACAGAAGACATGACAAAAACTGACAGGAACCAGAAAAAATCAGTCCGAACTCACCATCGCGGCGTCGGTTTTGGCAGCACAGCGGTCACAGAAAAGCTGGTCTGACCCCCTGACCTCAGACACTCCGAAATACTCGGCGATGCCGTCCACCTGAAAGACATTTAGCTACTCATATCTGACGTCCGTCCGCTCAGATCCAGATGGACCCAGTCTGGGTTTATCCCAGATATCCCAGATTCGTGTCAGACATCTCACCACGCTGTAATGTGAGTAGGAATCTGAGCGGGAAGCCACCAGCTCAAGAGGCAGATTCCAGAAAGGCTCCTCAGAGCTGGTCAGAGTGCGACATTTAAGGCATTGGGTCATATGTGTCAGCTGACCCTGGAACAGCTGCAGAGAGACCGAATAAAGACTGTTAGCATCTCGTTTAAGTCGCGGATCTGTGAGATCTGAAGTGAAGTCTGTACCTGAGAAGCTCCGGGGGCGCTCACGTTTCTCAGGATGTTCTCAAAACACTCTGCAGCATCACTCTGAACATCCACTGGAGGAGGTGGAAAGGAAAAAACATTAACCTCATCGGATATTTAATGTACCTAAAGATTGTTTTTACTTTAGCCTGAAGACAGACACAGTTTAAAAAAGGCTTCACATCTTTTTCTACTTCTACAAATTGAGGGTTTCAAATCATTTTCCATCAACTCTGAGTGACATTAACCAGATAAATCTTGAATCGTTATTTTTCCATCTGCTTTGGTGGACTCTGTCCAGGACCCTTTGCTAGCTGACCTGGTTATTTTCTATGCTGTTCTTATTGTTCATGGCTCTGGATGGCTTTTCTCTCTGTGTGTTCATGCAGGAGAGGAAGACCAAAACCATAAATACCAAACTGCCCTCCAGATAAGAACACTGTGATATATACAAAAATCTACTGAAAACATGTTTTCATCCTGTCAAAAAACTTTCGTTTTCATCCCCAAACTGACAAAAATTCCTAAAGCCTGTTTTTAACTCAAGATGAAAGAAAACACAGATTAAAGAAGGCTTCTTATATCATTTTTAGTCTTAATATAGATGGTTTTAAACTATTTAAATATTAATCGGACACCTCTGCTGATGCCCAGACTCTTTGTGATGTTCCTAGTTTCGGCTGTTTGTTTCCTCAATTCCTCAAAGAGGTTTTGAAGCTCTTTATCCAGAGACGGACGCCCACACGGATGTCTGTGGGAAACAAACACAGGCTGACGTGAGGAGGAGTTTCAAATGAGGAGGAGACAGAAGCCGGAGGTACAAATGAGGAGGAGGAGTCAGAAGCAGGAGGTTCAAATGATGGGGAGGAGAAAGAAGAAGGAGGTACAAATGAGGAGGAGGAGTCAGAAGCAGGAGGTTCAAATGATGGGGAGGAGAAAGAAGAAGGAGGTACAAATGAGGAGGAGACAGAAGCAGGAGGTTCAAATGAGGAGGAGGAGACGGAAGCAGGAGGTACAAATGATGAGGAGGAGACAGAAAAGGGAGGTAAAAATGAGGAGGTGGACACAGAAGCAGGAGGTACAAATGAGGAGGAGGAGTCAGAACCAGGAGGTTCAAATGATGGGGAGGAGAAAGAAGAAGGAGGTTCAAATGAGGAAGAGACAGAAGATGGGGATACAAATGATGAGGAGACAGAACCAGGAGGTCCAAATGAGGAGGAGACAGAAAAGGGAGGTCCAAATGAGGAGGAGACAGAAAAGGGAGGTACAAATGAGGAGGAGACAGAAGCAGGAGGTACAAATTGCCAATTAAATCTGCCTTTTGCGCCTTGTGGCACCAGGAGGCGTTCAGGTACTGACCTCTTCACGGCCTCCCTGAAGTCGGGGGTCATGAACAGGACCTGCAGGACGCTGTTCAGGTAGCAGGTGGCGCCCTGGTTGTACAGCCCGTGGTACTTTGGCTCTGGATGGAGGGGGAAAAATGGGAAAAAGGGCAGGTTAGCCGCACTTCGGCCTTCCAAAGCTCAGCCTGGAGGGGGTTCTGCTCACCTGGGGGGGGGGCAGATGCCGCGGGACGGCCGGTTCCAGGTTTACTGGCAACCTGGAGGTTCGAGTTGACCGGTGTGGGCTGCTGCTTTGTTACCGTGGTGCTGAGTTTGGAGGCTTCAGAGGAGGACCCCACAGCGCCTCCTCCCCTCTGGTTTGGACCTCCAGCTGCTCCCTGACCTCCCGTCTGCTTCTGCTCTGCAGCAGAAACTGGAAAGATAAAAAAAAGAAACAGAAAGGACTCACTCAGAAAAAGGCCAGTCAGTCAGAAAACTCGTCGGTTTCCATGTTAACTCATTGACTGCCAGCCATTTTCAGAACAGAGTCCCATACTGCCAGAGTTTTTTTTTTAACATTTTGACTGATTTTTCAAGAGCCACAGAATAGTTTGTGCTATGACTATGTCAACACTGAACACGCCAAAAGAAAGAGTAGACTCTCTTCTTTCATCAGGAAAAAATGTTTGTTTCTACCTTATTCCGTTCTTCCTCGACGTGCGTCTCACCGGCGACATGTTCTCTCATAGCGAACCATTACCTTTTTCTTATTTGCCTACAGTCTATGCTCATCTCCCATCAAAAGTGGCACTGCCACCTAGAGGGTCAATTTCTTACTACATACTCTGTCTAGAAGCCTGATATTTACGGACAAGCTTTAGCAGATCGTCCCCCAAGCCACTCTCGTTGAAAAACATAAAAGACGTCTATAGACGTCTTTAGCAGTCAATGAGTTAATAATGTTTGTAATCTCACCTTTCCTGTAGAACAGCAGACAAACGTCCCGGGACCTGATGGGAGTTAAAATAAAGTGAGCTCAGGTTCATGTTCAGTAAAATAATGAAGACCAGGACAGATGTGATGTTACCTGTGATTGTTGTCCACTTGGAACGGTTGGAAATCAGCCTGTAAATGAAAAAGATGCAATTTCTTGAGTAAAATTGTATTTTTCCACGTTTTGTATCGACATATCTTCTAATAGCAAAGAAAAACATACCACGTAGACATGGTGGTCGCTGAAGTTGTACCACTTCTCGTTATCCTGAGGCTTGATTGTTGCAGAAAACTGTCCATATGTGTATTTTCCCCCATTTCCCACAAAGGCGTACAGCTCATAAATCTCAGTCTGACAACCAGAGAAGAGAGAAAATGACAGAAATCAGCAGCAGGAGTAAAACTTTAATGACTTTAATAAATATATTCAGTGTAAAGTACCTCAGCTCCAGCATGTGGGATCTCCAGCATGTAAGGAAACTCCACATAACGATCAATTTTAATGTGCTCTCTTCTAACACTGTTGAATTTAAATCTTCTCAGCCGCAGCATCAAAACGTCTGGATGATGCGTCATTTCACTTTTCTGACAAAAAATAACACAGAGATATTAAGTTGATCTATTAATAGTCACATTTTCTCAACATATAAAACTATCCTGGATGTCAAACAGCCACAAAAGGATGAGAAACACTGACTCTGAGCCTGTTTTTCCCTCCTCAAAGTGTTCTATGATAGAAGAAACAAATAGAAAAATAGATACTTTAAACTGTCAGAAACACTGGAGCTTCAGGAGTTCAGCCGATAAAAACCAGATAAGAAAAGAACAAATATTCAGTTTTTTTGTGCTCAGTTTGTTATGCTGCTCTGTAACCTTTAACCTTGATGCCGTCTGGGTAAAAAAAAAGCACAAAATCATCTTTTAAAGTAATTTATTAACCAGGAAAGAGTTTGTAGAGACCCCAAATACAGTTTCCTGTCACAGAAACTTCCTTCTGTAAAGACTCAGCCTGCTTGCTCACATTCATTTGATAAACTCTGAAGGTTTCCACTGTGAAGGGGTCAAGTTACCTGAAAACAAACGTGTGGAACAGCAAAAAGAGCCTGAACTCACCGCGGCAGCATCACGTTTGGCATCACAATGCTCACAGAACAGCTGGTTTGCTCCACTGACCACCGACTGGACAAAATACTCAGCAACGCCATCAACCTGAAACATGCATTTTCTTACTTTTCTCTGATAGGATTATAGAAACAACTTATTATTCAAGAACAAAAAACACTGAAATTGTCAATAAATACAATAAATTCTTATAAAATCTGACCGGTTTCTGGCGTTAATAGCAGTGATGTTTTACAAAAATGTGTTTTGACCAAAATCGTGCCGTTTTTAAGCAGATTTATCATAAATAATATAAACAGTGCAGACTTAAATGCAAATGAGTCTGCAAAGTAAACAGATTGTCTGATTTCTCACCACTTTGTATTCTTTGTTGGACTCTTCAAATGTAAGAGGCAGACTCAAGAAAGGCTCCTCAGAGCTGGTCAGAGTGCGACATTTACGGCATTTGGTCCTATGTGTCAGCTGACCCTGGAACAGCTGCAGAGAGACCAAACGAAGCCTGTTAGCATCTTGTTTAAATCACACGTGTGAGATCTAACGTGAGTCTGTACCTGAGACGCTCCAGGGGCGCTCACGTTTCTCAGGATGTTCTCAAAACACTCTGCAGCACCACTCTGAACATCCACTAGAGGAGGTGAAAAGGATCAAACATTAACCTCATCGGACATTTAATGTCCCTAAAGCCTGTTTTTAACTCAAGATGAAAGAAAACACAGATTAAACAAGGCTTCACATCTAATTTTTACTCTGAATAAAGATGGATTTAAACACTATAAAAGTTAATGGGACACCTTTGCTGATGCCCAGACTCTTTGTGATGTTCTTAGTTTCAGCTGTTTGTTTCTTCAAGTCCTCAAAGAGGTTTTGAAGCTCTTTATCCAGAGACTGACGCCCACACGGATGTCTGTGGGAAACAAACACAGGCTGAGAGCAGGGGTCTCTGTTTGGTTTCGGCCTGCTCCTGAGTCCTTTGGCGAACCTGTGCAGGGCCTCTCTGAAGCCGGGGGTCATGAACAGGACCTGCAGGACGCTGTTCAGGTAGCAGGTGGCGCCCTGGTTGTACAGACCGTGGTACTTTGGCTCTGGATGGAGGGGGAAAAATGGGAAAAAGGGGCAGGTTAGCCGCAGCTCGGCCTTCCAAAGCTCAGCCTGG